AAATTTATTTTTATAAGTTATTCATCAACTATTATATGTTTATTTATGGGAAGAAATTTTAAATTATCTATAAGTTATGAAATTAATTGTTTAATTTTTATATTTATTTGCAGATTATAAAATTAATTTTCAGTTTTTATATGTTTATTTGGAGGAATTTTGAAATTTAAAACTTTATCCATAAGGGTCTGTTTGGTAACGTTTACGTTTTTAGTTTATATTTACAAAAAATTTATAAACTGATTTTTGTTTATTTTTTGTTTATTTTTAGAAAAAACATAAACTACAAACGCGTTTTGTAATTGACAAAATGTTTCAAAAATTTTTAAAATATAAAAAAGGGTGAGAAATGCCAAGTGGTGGCAAGTGGCGGCGGAAGACGGTGGTGGAAAGTTGTGACGGTGGGTGGTGGGTAGCGGTGGTGGTGGTGGTGGCGAGAGGTGGGTGGTGGTGGCAAGTGGTGGGGGGGTGGGTGGTGGTGGCGGAAGACGGTGGTGAAAAATGGTGGCGGGTGGTGGCTAGTGTTGGGTGGTAAAAAAAAAAAACTCAAAACGTAAATTCATTTTTTGAGTTTATATTTTTTGGCCAAATTTATAAACTGAGACCATTGATTTATAAATCAAAATTTATCAAACAAGTTTTTATTTGAGTTTTTTAAATTTTTATAAATATAAACTGAAAACTGAAAACGTAAGTGTTATCAAACGGCACTGCAGTGACAATTCCTCCACACAATCAAGAATTTTTAATTATTTTATGATGCTTTTATTTTCGATTGGATGTATAAATATGTGATCTTAATATGTTTAGTTGACTAGAAAACTAATGGTAAGAAGAAAGAAAAAAAAAAAAGATCATCAAAATCTCCTAATTTACTTTGTTTCCAGTTGTTTTTGTCTAAAATGAAGGAATTAGGGTTTAGTTTTTTCTTTTTTATTAAAAGATGTGCATTGGGATTTTTTTTTGTTTTAAAAGATGTGTATAGAGAATATTTTCATATAATATTATAGGTGTGTTTTGATGTCTATTATAGTCATTTATTTTAAGATATAGTTATCATTAAAATAATAATTCATTAAGTGTGTGCACTGAGATAAATAAGCATGTGAAAATAGAATTTTTCATGACTAAATAGGTCACAAGATCACATTTTAAATTTATTGGTGTTTCACACTTTTTAAAGGTTGCTTTTGAATTTTGAATTTATGTCTTTTATTTTTATTGAGCTTTTTAATATTTGGGTTAAATTTGTTTATTTTGTAAATGCATCTAATTTAAATGTAATTAAAACATAAAATATTTGTTAATAAATCTTTTAAAAATTAATAAATACAAAAAAACAAAGAGAAAAATACTTGAAAATCTCACTTTAGAAATTTATATTCCATGAAACTTATTTATTTTTTATTTTTTTTAATGGACCGATAGGTCATGTTCATTTGGAAATATTGTTTTATGATATATTATTTAACATATTATTGTGTTTAAGTCATTTTTGCCTTTATTGATTGTTGGGTACTTTTTTTTTAATTTTAAATGTGGCATAATGATTGATTTTCGTAATGGGAATGCAACATTTTTGGTGGATTGAATGTGGAATGTGATTTGATTTTCAAAAGTGTCATGCTACATTTTGGGTCAATTAAATATGAAATGTGATTTGTTCAGACCAACAATGTAACTATAAAAATCTTTTAGCATACTTTTTTAAATGTGATATCTGGAATGTAATTTGATTTTCAAAATGGACAAGCTACATTTTTGGTGGATTAAATATGAAATGTGATCTATCTAAACCAGCAATGTGACTATAAAAAAAATCCTTTGAGAAAATTTCATTCTTATCCCTATACTTTGCCTCGATGATCAATTACACCCTCAGACTTCTAATAATTTCAATTTTATGCCTAAAGTTTTTGAAAACGTGTCAATTTTGCCGCTGTCTTCACACTTGAAACGGAAAACGTAAAAATAAAAAAAATTGTATTTTTGTTCCAAATTTCAAAAGAAAAATACAAACATATCATCTTCTATCCAAACTCACCCTCTCTCATCTTCTTCAAATTCTTCCCTCTTTCCTCCATTCTTGCAAGCGCTGCCACCATAACCGCAAACACTTAATTCTCCAACTCAACTTCTCTTACACCCAAAAATGTAGATGGATTGAATGTGAAATGTGGTTTGATATCCAAAATAGGCATATTACATTTTGGGTCGATTAAATGTGAAATGTGGTTTGTTTAAACCAACAGTGTAACTATAAAAATCTTTTAGTGTACGATTATGGATTGTGGTTTGATTTTCAAAATGCGTATACTAAATTTTTGGTGAATTGAAGGTGAAATGTGGGTTGTCTAAACCAGCAATATGACTATAAAAGTCCTTTGGTGTACTTTTTTGAAATATGACATATGGAATGTAGTTTGATTTCTAAAATGGAGGAAATATCATTTTGCTCACAAACTTTTACGCATTTTTCAATTTGACCCTCAGACTTCGATTAATACCAAATTTACACCAAAACTTTCAAAATTTTGTTAATTTGACCCCTACTGTCACATTCTGTCTACAATTAGACAGAATCTACTGACCTAGGGGCAAATTGATTTTTAAGGTATAGTTTTGAGGGCAAATTGATTTTTAATTTGAAGAAAAATTTGATTTTTAAGGTATAGTTTGGGGATAAAATGAAATTTCAAATCAAATTTGGTGCCACGTTAGCACATTTCGCCCAATTGTAGACGGAATGTGACGGTAGGGGGCTAATTGATCAAAATTTTAAAAATTCAGGTATAAAATTAATATTAATCAAAACTTGGGGGTCAAATTGAAAAAATGCATGAAAGTTTGGTGGGAAAAATGATATTTTCTCTTCTAAAATGGGTGTGCTACATTTTATGTGAATTGAATATGGAATATGGTTTGTCCAAACTAGTAATGTAACTACAAAAACCCTTTTAGGGCATGTTTGATTGACAAAATTAGAGTATAGAATTGAGATTATTAATTCACTGGCCCAATAATCTTGTATTTGTTTTGAAATTTTGTTTCAGAATTATTAATCCAATGGATAATTAATCCAACAAATTTGTAAGATTATTAGTAATAGGGTAGGGGTGAGATTATATATCATAAAGTAGAAAATAAAATAAAAAGACTCTTTTACCCTTGAGTAAAAATTAAAACACTTGTTATTTTTACATAATTTTATATTTTAGAAGGCTAAAAATAATTTTTATATATTTAAAAATATTTTTCATATTTATTTTATCAAATTAATTTATATTTTAAAAAAATAAATAAAAAACAAACCAAACATTGCCTTTGTATTTTGTATTTTTTATTTTGCTTTTATTTATTTATTTATAAATTTTTTCAAAACCACGTTTATGAAGAGATTTTGATAACATAAGCATTGTGAAGAAACATTGATGGAAGGTAAGAATGGAAAATAAGATAAATATAGTTGTAATATTACATTCATATGTTTTCTTATCCAATGTGAATCAAATAATGGACAAGAGGATAATTTATCCTACTAATTCAATTGGATAGTGTATACCACACTAATTTGATGGGATTATTAATACCTTCACTATTAGTCTCATGAATCAAACATGGCTTTAGTGTACTATTTTGAAATATGACATGGAATGTGATAATCAACTAAAATTAAGGAGGGAATTTTCAAATTGATGATATCATAAAATCAGTAGTAAATGTGTCAATTTATATAAATAAATACGGGCTTGTGTATTCATTAAAATAATTATGGAACTAGTTGGTCGGTAAGTTCTAATTTTATGATTTATGGGTTAATGCCTGCCCAAAAAAATTATAAAAACGAACTAAATTTTTGTTTTTTAAAAAAAAAATTTTTTTTTAGTAGTTAGTGACTTTTGAATGGTAAATCACAAATTACATACACATATTATTTTCCAAACACTCAATATAAATGTAATGGACTTTACTGTCAAAACCAATCACAATAATAGAAAGTACCACATGATATATACTTTATCCACACACAAAAATTACTAGAAGAATAAGGACAAACAAATGGGATTGCTGGAAAGCAATGGTGTGGAGGGGTTCGTAAATGAAATGAGGAAAGAAGTAAAGGGTCGAGGTGGTGAAAGAGCTAGAAAGGATTGGTCACGATGGTGAGGGGACCGAAAAAGGGTTACGATGGTTAAAAAGAGTTGGATACAGAGTCATGAGGCTAGGCTGTCTGCGACGGCACGAATGGCAAAGAGGTATTGGGAACTAGATCCAAAACTAGGGTTGGTGATGATGATTACAAAGAACGCATTCCTTACAACGATCAATTCACTTCAGAAATATTTTTTTTCCCACGATCATGAGAGAGAATGAGTTTTGAGGAGTTTTTCTTTTTCTTTTGAGAGATAATGGTTTTTAGAAGTGGGAGTGCTTTTGAGCAGGTGAAATTTTCATAAAGATAATTTTAGTATTATTTAGGAAGAAAAAAAAAATTAAGAGGTTTAAAATTTATAAGTGAGGAGGCAAAAAAATGGAAGTCCAAAATAATAAATGAAGTGCTAATTGAAACACTCTTAAAAAATGGAGAAGGTGGGGATTCTGACACCCAAAAAAAAAAGAGTAGATTGCAAGACTGTTTACTAATCCCCTATATTATTCCAAGAACATTACAAACGTTGAATAGATTACATGATTGTAAGAGATTAGTAATTTCAACACCAGTAATCTAGGGATTAATAATTTCATGTAGTCCAATGTCATGATTTCAGAGGAAAGGAAAGAATAAAAATCTGTTCGGTTCAATTTTTGAATTTTCTTATAAAAACAAAAATTAATTTAACAAAAATAGATACTAAAAATATATTTTTGCTTAAAAAGAAAATACCATACAAAAATGTTTTTAAAAAATATTTTTCGTCAAAACATAGCAATAATAGTAACTGAAAGCATAACAGAAATCATAATAATAATTGAGCTTTTGATTCAAATAGGTAAGTTTTGTTTCTTTCTATTGATTTTGTACTCTTTTGTTTTCGAGTAATACAACAATTACAAACAATTAACTACAATGATATTGGCAAGAGGCCAGCTAACTATACACTACCAATAGACATTTTTCATTGTTTTTTCTTTTATTTTTATGTATTGATAACTCTCCGGTGCTCATCTTCAGAGCAGAGATTGGAAATATGGATGCTCCAAAGCATCAGATACACTCAACCAGTCCTCCTGCAACATTCAAAAATTAAGAACTGTCATTTATGTGCAAACATGCATTTACATAATTGACACTAAATATATGTGAACAAAAGTCTATATCCCCGTATGGATAGCAAATTAGATAATCTTTACTCAATCAATGAACTCATCAATAGGACCTAATGATTTCACCCAGCATTGAAAATGGTTATACCCAGTCTACAAGTATTTGCTTATGTCAGCAGCACACTACCTTCATGTTCTGACATAATTTCGCCAATATGATTTCTAATTTTCTCATGTGCTAGATGTTCCATAGGCCAAACCAAATTTTGCTGGCTGTTTGAGTTCAAACCATCTACTATGGAAAAACTAGATCATCCGGATTGGTTATTTAATTTTCTATCCCCCCATCAACAAAAAAAAAAAAGAAAAGCAGGAAAAAAGTGCCATCTAATGTTTTGCCCATTCAGTTACTTGGTCATTACACCAAAAGACATGGTCAAATCCTGAGCTTACCCTGCTTAAGAGAAGGGGAGCTTCTATGGGCACCAAAAAGGTACCTCCAATTTTCAAGCCCATTACAATTTTGGAAGTCAAGAAAATGAGCCAAATCATTCGTCTTTTTCTTTCCATGCAAACACACGTGCACATACTTATAATAAAATTATTTAAATCATTTAAGAGAAGGGGAGTTTTTGTGTGCAAGTAAAATTGCATGAGAAATTATAACTAATTATGATAGCTTCTTTGTTTATCTGTTGCTTTCCATGAAAACACACGTGCACATTCTTATAACAAATATATATATATATATATATATTTGATTGTGGTACATCTATTATATAAATGAAAGCATTCAGAATTAACTCTGAAAGAGAAATGGAAGTTAAATAGTTTCATAATTTACCGGAGCCCATGTCAAAAGTCTGCGCACCAACTGCAAAGCCAAATCATTTGGAACGCTACAAATATTGAGAAAAATACATTGTGAGTTAGCCAAAGCAAGGACAGACAGCTCAGGACATTATCTGACATGGTCCACAAATATAATATAACAGTAAACTAACCCAAGTTTTAGAGGATCTAGGTTCCTTATTTCACTTGACAAAAACTCTTCAGAGCAGTTTGTGACGCACAAGAAGTGATACATCCCACTTAAGGAAACTTGAGGGCAAAAACAATTTTCTTATGGGGTGCTTGGTTAAGTTACCATTTCTTATTTTTCAAAAAACCAAAAAAATTTAAATATATATATATATTGAAAAAAAATTACAATATAAAAACAGTTTTCTATTTTTTTCCGTTGGAAGACAAGATTATGAAAACATGTCTAGTGCATATATCATCCTTAAAAATATGAATATGATTTAACAGAGATAGATAAGTACAAAAATACATTCCACTATCCTTTCTCTCCTACCCCTGAGATGTTCTACATCTCTAGGGATTTTGTTGCAGAGAGCCGCAAATGACCTAAATCTGAAAACATTTATATCTAATAAGAGCATGCAACATGTATTTCATTTAATAATGTAACAAGTTTCGTTATAAAGAGGAGGATAATGGCAGCCACAGCTCATGATTGAGAATTTTAATATAATTCTAGTACAGAGTTTACATATTCAGTTTCAAGATTACTAAATTTCTACCATTTTAAGAACCATACCCATTTACAAGACTTCATCAACTTCAGGTTCTGATTTTCAAAGCGAGTCAAAATACATACCTTTGTACACATGTAAATACATAGGTATAGACAGTTCTTATAGTAGAAGTTTCCTAATGATTAATGCCCTAGAAGAAAGCTGAGTATTTTTTTGCTGGACAACTAATATTTGTAAGTATGTGGTCATCAAGCTAGTGAGTCCCCAAATTAACAGTCACTGTCCTTGTTACAGGAAATTGCTCTCGCAAAACAAGTTTGTCTTCTTCATGCAAGGGTATCAACTTCTTTCTCATCCCCTTTTTTATTATTATTATTATTACTATTATTATTATAATAATAAAAAAACTGAACTACTTCAAGTAATAGGAACTAGCTATAGAGATCAACTAATACAACCTATGTGACCATATATTAGTTCATACAACACCTAAGCTCACATACAAACAATCTCGAGATCAAGTCATGCCTAGTAACACTTGGAATCTGCAACTCCCAATAACGCTTTCACATTAAAAAGATATACTAAAAACACTTTTTTCCCCCTAGCACACATCAATTAATTAATTACTAAGGACAAAATAAATTTCCATGACCACAAAGTATTAATTTTTGTATAGGTGGTTAATCATTTTAATTTATTTCACATTTGGCATAATACGATCCTGTTACGTACCTTTTCTGTCTGACACAACTAAATTCGGTTTGATTGAGACAAATCATAATGCTTATTTAATTAGTAATCAGTTACTAAAAGATTTCGATGAACTCTCAATTGTCACCTTTGTCATTAAGGAGTAGCCAATTTACACGTTCACAAGCACGAATAATTGCTGATCTCGACTGTTGTCATCTAAAAATAATAAATAATAATACCATGGCCAATTGATCACTAGATGCTTGATTTATATTAAAACATATATATCCTAAAAGATCAACAAACCATTTGATTCTGATGCTGTTGGTACAAAACAAACAATCTGCTAATCAGATGAATATGACTTGTTTTTAATTAAGCTTTTGTTTCTACACTCTCACCAACCCATCAGATTGTCAAATCCTTATTTGATGCTAAGTACCTTAGTGTGTTATCAGTTATTAACCATACAGCAAGAGGATTCACAGGAATGGAGCATGAGGCATCAGAATTCAAACAATTTCACTAGTTAATTATAAAAACTATGACTCACCTGAATAGAAGATTCATCTCATCTTCATGCAAGCTATCAGACTGCAGAATTAGAACTGCATATGACCGATGACTCAATTGGAAAACATAAGGAGTTCCTACAATCATCTCCAAGACCACAACACCAACGATCCACAAGTCGTACCTGCAAGTTGACCAAAATACAATTTAAAAATAAATAATCGAAAAGACAAGAATTTGATTATTACATATGACAGTTCATTCAACAAAAAATGCAACTCAAAAACTGTGAAAGTTACGCCATAATTTTCTACCACCGTCTTCTGCCGCCACCACTCGTCTCCACCCACCACCCGCCACCACTTGTCATTTCTCACTTTTTTTATATTTTAAATTTTTTTTAAACATTTTGTCTAAACCAAACGCGTTTGTAGATTATGTTTTTCTAAAAATAAACAAAAAATAAACAAAAACCAGTTTATAAATTTTTTGTAAATATAAACTGAAAACGTAAACGTTACCAAACAGCCCTTTTTTTTTAAAAAAAATAAAATAAATCGTTTTGTAATTGGTTAAATCTAACCTTCTACAATAAATTCTTATGAACTAAACCCTAAAAACCAAACCTTAACGGAGAAGAAAAGGTTGTCAGAGAAAAAGAAAAGGCCATGGTTTTGAAATTATTTGGCAGTTCATAGGGTAATGATTTGGTAGTTCACAGGGGCGATTACAAATTTGTATTGTAATTTCCAAGATAACTCTGTTAGAGGAAAAGAAAAGGCTGCAATATTTTTAATTGGCTAAATCTAACATTTTCATTATATATAAATTACCAAATTGTTACCATGATGAAGCAAAAATACAAATTGAACATCTTAATAGCAAAGACTCAGGTGAGATTTCATTCAACTAATCAACTTATAAATAGAAATACTAGGGCTTGTTTGGAAAATAGAAAGATGAGCTTGATGATAGAGGTTAATGAAGATAATGGAGATGGAATTCTTTTGGGTTCAAAGTTTCTTTTTGTTAGAACTTCAATTTCCTCTTGATCAGAATTTACTCTTGATTATAGATCTACCCCATCGATTTGGCCTTGCAAATTGTTACCATGATGAAGCAAAAATACAAATTGAACATCTTAATAGCAAAGACTCAGGTGAGATTTCATTCAACTAATCAACTTGTAAATAGAAATACTAGGGCTTGTTTGGAAAATAGAAAGATGGGCTTGATGATAGAGGTTAATGAAGATAATGGAGATGAAATTCTTTTGGGTTCAAAGTTTCTCTTTGTTAGAACTTCAATTTCCTCTTGATCAGAATTTACTCTTGATTATAGATCTACCCTATCGATTTGGCCTTGGACGAATTGTTCATCGACTCCATGAGAGGGGATAAATTGATGTGAGAGTGTGTGGAAAGTGAATTGAGGTGGTGTGTGTACAAGATGTGAATTAAGGGTATGATTGGAATATTTGGTGCGTGGAATGTGAACAATAAGGGTGATTCTACTTACACCACTATTTAACCTCTTTATACCCTCCATCTCATTACACTACTAAAAAAAAAGTAATTCTCATTACACCCCCCAATATATTACCAAAACTAAGCCTAAATTAACTATTTCATCTCTTTACACCACTAATTTTGGTAACACGGTGCTAAACAATTTACATTATTCCGGTGCTATGTTGCTGGAAAAAATAGATCTCCCCAGCATTTTTTTGCTATACATTTACAGAGACACTTTCTTCCAAATAATGATTTTTTAATTTGTGGTGGGTCTGTTCGGTAATACAACGCTAATTAACTTGAATTACTTTAGTGCCATATTACCGGACAATGTTTTTTTTCCCAACATTATGTTGCCGTCCAATTAGATGATAACAAGAAATTAATTTGGACTACTTGTGAAGTGCATGTTCAGTGATACATTGTTATACAAATGGAATTACTCTAGTGTCATGTTGCCAAACTATAATAGAGTTGTTTAGGCCCCCGTCGCTGTACATTGAAAGATTTACTCTTTCCTTCAAGCATCTATAAAAAAATTCATAAATCAAACACGCATCCATAAAATCATACATAAAAAGTATCCATAAAATTATTTATAAAAAATCAAGTGTACAAATATCCATAAAGTATCCATAAAATCTGTCATTATTTGCCTCCATCAATCAAACATGTTATCATAATTCGTCTTGATAATTTGTAGGTAATTTTCCCCCCTTAATAGAAATAGACATCTACACTTTTTAGAACCGGCCAACCTCAATCATTCCCCCTTGATCTTCCTGTTGTCTCTATAGTAACCACTTCTTTTACAAACAACTGTAAGTCTTGGTTTTCTGTCATTGCCTCCCGCGTCTGATGTTTTATAACAATGACAAATCTAGTCTTCTTCCCAACGTCAGAAGCCCATTTAATTAATGCTTCATGACTACTAAAATCTAAAGATAATAAATACATTTACGTCAAATTATTAATAAAACTCAATACAAATTAAAAATAAGAAAAAATCATATTCATAAAAATAATTTAACAAACCTCGTCTGTAATGAATTCATGACTAGAGTCCACTAATATTATGAAACTTGCGTTGTTACAATGAGTATAAGTATAATCCTTCTAGGCAAAAAAATAAAAAATAAATAAAAAAATGAAACTGAAAATGCATGGTAATGAGAACCCCAACAAATTAAAAAAATTTAGTTTGGGGTTACCAAAAATGTATCTTTTATTCGGTAGTTAGTTATCAGACTTATATTTTTTGTTCGGCAATGTGATGTCGGACTATTTTATTTTGTTCAATTTTGAACCATCGAACGAAAGTCGAACACCAGTCCAGAAAAACGAAACAAAAAACTTACCAAATAAATAAAAAAAACTCACCATTTCACTTTTTTGATGATTCTTCATCACCATTTCTTCATCCATTGTTTTCTTTAATGATCAAAATACTATGATTCTCACTTTTTGAAAAGAGATGTGTAAAAGAAATGAAAAATTAAGAAAGAAAAAAGAGTAGGGATTGAAGACCAAGGAGTGTAAGGAGATAACAAAATATATTTAATTTTAGTGTTTTTATAGCGATTCCGGGTTTTACCCCTTGTACAGTGATCCGGACTTGGTTCCATGGATGTTAGCAATTGTTTATATCTTGTTTACATCCTTTCGTACTTTGTATTTGAGTTATAGGATGTGTTGGGCGTGTTCTGAACAGGTAGGTTGAGTTTTGGTCTCTAGTGTAGTTGCCCAGGTTTTTGGTGTTATGCTCGAGCGGATCATTCTGCGCTCGAGCGGAGTTTGGTTTTTGGTTGTCCACTTGAGCGGGCCTTCTTGCGCTTGAGCGGGATTTACACATCCCAGTATCTCGTGTCCCTACAAAACTTCTGCAGGTGTGTTTTTCACACTCGAGCGGGTTTCCTACGCTCGAGCGGGTCGCGCTCGAGCGGGTATGTTGGCGCTCGAGCGAGTAATGATTTGTCTGTGAAAGTTCTGGGAGGGGGAAATCTACGCTCGAGCGGACTGGTTTTCGCGCTCGAGCGGATGTATTTTATTCTTGTGTCTTGGAGCTCGAGCGGGCCTTCTTGCACTCGAGTGTGTCCAGATTTTTGTGCTTGACGCTCGAGCGTTCTATTCTCCGCTCGAGCGGAAGTGTTGTATATCAGTGGGCAACTGGGCATTTTTGAATAACTTTTTACATTCACTCTCTCTCTCTCTCTCTTACTTTCTAAAAGCACTTTTCAGAGTCTCTCTCTCTAGGATTTTCCTTCTCTCTAGGGTTTGATCTAGTTAGAGTGTTCTCCTATCCTTCGGCCTTTGTAAAAAGCGTGTTGATCGTCGAGGGCTTCGTTTTGATCCGAAAATTTTGGAGTTTGGAACACTTTGGTTTTAGTCTTCTTCTCCATTTGAGCTGTAACTTCGAGGTAGGGATATCCTACTCCTCCTTATGAGCTTTGTCTTTAAATTTTAACATTTTGATATGTTGGGGATTGTTGGGTAATTTTAAGAAAGTTTGGGTCTTTGTGTAATTTTACAAAAGATGGGGTTTTATTTATATAAGCCTATATGCATGTTTAGCATGGAGAAATGAGATAAATGTTGGGTTATTGATAGAAATGGAACCTTAGGGTTGTTTTGTTAATTATGGGAAATGCCCTAATTACATTGATGAATTAATTTGTGAAATTAATTTTGAGAAATGAGAAGTTGAATTGAAAACATTGAAATTGGGAACATATGGGATTAAAGGGTGTAGTTGGATCATTTATCACTCACCTAGTTGAAATGTTGATATTTTATCCATTTGGTGCATTTATTTTCTGTTTAGAAATAACTGCTTTGGGCTATCAGTGGAGGATAGTCTTGATTGTTGTAAACAATGCATGATGATTAGGCAAACTAGAACTAATCGATTGAGTATGCTATCGAGTATAGCGGTTGGAATAATACATTAATTTTATGTATTGATTGATTGTGTATATGATCTATGTTTATATACATTGTGTGTGAGAGGAGATAGGGGATGTACTCCACGGTTTAGGGGAAGATAGGGGATGAACCTCTAAACCGGATATCGTGTGACATTGATACAGCACTACAATGTGTATCAAGTGTGGATTATGGAAGTGTTTGAATTGATTTGATATAGCACTAAAATGTATATCGTTATCAATTGTGAAGTATAGAAGCGTTTCTATGTGTTATTGACACATCACCAAAATGTGTATCCATCATGAATTTCGAAAGTGTTTTAAAGATGAGTCTAAATCTCATTAAGTTATTTGGCTAGGTTCTAAGCCTTGTTTTCAAACTCAAAGTTGAATAAGAAATGGAAACTAAAGTGTGCTATAGGCATGATTGTCGTGAAACTGTAATACGACATACGTTGGAATACAAGGGTGGACCATCTATTGAATGCTATTATTTTAGTCATTGTTTATAGTTGGTTTCGTATATTTCTACTGGGCTGTGGCTCACCCTTTATGGGACATCATTTTCAGGTACAGGTAGCATGTCACCTCCAAGGACATAGCTTCGGAGGCTAGAGACAGACAGACTGTTTCTGTTGTTTTGTTTTCTTTAGATGTATTACATGTATATCAAGCCAAGGTCTTTCTTTGTATAGAGTTAATACTCTTTTTTTTGTAACCAAGTGTTGACTTGGAA